TTTCTTTTTTTGGGGGGGGGTGTCTGGTTGGGGGTCCTGAACTCTGGGCCTGGGCACTGTCCCTCAGCTCTTCAGCTCAAGGCTAGTGCTCTACCACTTGAGCCACAGCGCCATTTCCGGCTTTTTTTCTTTTTGCTTATGTGGTGCTGAGGAATCGAACCCAGGGCCTCAGGCATGCAAGGCAAGTGCTCTACCACTGAGCCACCTTCCCAGCCCCTGATAATTTCTTTTTAATGTCTGGAAAGGTTTAGGTGAGGTTGGTATTGTTTCATAAAGTATGGAAAAGAATAAGTAGCAAAGCTTTCTGAGTTTTTCTTCGTAGAAAAATTGTAATAATGGATTCAGGGTGGTTTTTGTTCTTGAGGTGGTTGTTTTTTGTTGCGGTCCTGAGGCTTGCACTCAGAGTCTGGGTGCTATTCCTGAGCTGCTTTTGCTCAAGGCTATTGTTCTACCACTTGAGCCAGAGCTCTACTTCTGGCTTTTTGGGGGGCAGGAGAAGAGTAGTTTATTTGGAGATGAGACTCTCACGGGCTTTTCCTGCTCCTTCCTGCTGGAGTCAAACTGTGATACTCAGATCTCAGCCACCTGAGTGGCTGTGATTATAGGTGCGAGCCACTTGTACCTGGCTCAGATTTTGTTTTGTTTAAATTGCTATTGTGATGTTATAAAATCTTATGTCAGAGTATAATAGGTATCTTTACAGGCATTTAGGCTTTTTGCTTTTTTGTCTGTGTGTGGTGGTTGTGGTGGTGTTGGAGTTTGAACCCAGGGTCTTGTGCATTCTAGTCAAGTACGTGCTGTAACTATGGAAACATACTCCCTAGACCAGGTTTATAAGTGTTGATTATACTTGAACTCAGGGCCAGGATATTCTCTGAGCTTTTTTGCTCAAGGCTAGTTACCCTACCACTTGAGCCATAGCTCCATGTCTGGCTTTTTGTGGTTAACTGGAGATGAGTCTCATTCATTTTCCTGCTTGGTCTGGCTTGGAACAGAGTCTCAGATCTCAGCCTCCTGAGTAGCCAGGATTACAGACCTGAGTCACGAGAGCCCGGCTACATACTTTTTTTTTTTTTTTGCCAGTCCTCGGGCTTGAACTCAGGGCCTGGCACTGTTCCTGAGCTGCTTCTACTCAAGGCTACCACTTGAGCCACATGCCACTTCTGTCTTTTTCTGTGTATGTGGTACTGAGGAATCGAACCCAAGGCCTCATGCATGCTAGGCAAGCGCTCTACCACTAGGCACATTCCCAGCCTACATACTTTTTTTTAATGTAGTAAATACAAAGTTGGTATGGAGGCCCATCTGACCCTCAGAAGGAGTAGAAGGCTTTGAACTACCATCCTCAGTTCTCAGCCTCCTGAGAAGTAGGTAGTCCAGTAATTTTTAATCTCTCTGTCTGTCTCTGTCTGTCTGTCTGTCTCTCTCCCCCCTCTTCCCCCTCCCTCTTTCTCCCTCTTCCCATGCCTCCCTGCTTCCATTCCTCTTCCCCTCCTCCTTCCCTTCCTCTGCTGTACACAGAAAGAAAATTGCATAATGGTGCCATTCTTAAAAGCCTCATCTGCACATTATTTATAACTTGTAATAAGGGAGAACATTTGTTATTTGTTGAAAAAATTAATGTTTTTATTAGTGTTTTATTTATATGTTTTCAGGGAGGATTTATATTTTGTTAATCCTGTAGAGGCTCTTTCCTCCCTTAACAAATTTTAATAAGTTTTTTATTGTGAAAATACTGTACAGAGGGATTACAGTTACATGAACAAGGTAATGAGTACATTTCTTAGCAAGCATTGTTGCCTCCTCCTTTGTTTTTCCCGTACCATCCCTTCCCTACCACCTCTACAACTATACTCTTCCCCCCCCCAATTTTTTTTTAAATTGTAAGCTGGGTGTTGGCTACTCAGGCCTGTAAGCCTAGATACTCAGGAGGCTGAATCTGAGGTTCAAAGTTAAAAGCCAGCCCAGACAGAAAAGTTTGTGACACTGATCTCCAATTAATCAAACAAGCCAGAAGTACAGGTGTGGCTCAAGTAGTAGAGCACCCATCCTTGAGTGAGAATAATCCAAGTGAGTACAAGACCCTCAGCTCAAGCTTCTATACTAGCACACAGAGTTTTTGTTTTGTTTTGTTTTGTCAGTCATAGGGCTTGAACTCTGGGCCTGGATGCTGTCCCTCAGCTCTCAAGGAGCGTACTTTACCACTTGAGCCACAGCGCCATTTTGGTTTTCTGGTGGTTAATTGGAGATAAGCGACTCATGGACTTTCCAACCTGGGCTGGCTTTGAACCGTGATCTTCAGATCTCAGCTTCCTGAGTAGCTAGGATTGCAGGCGTGAGCCACCTGCACCTAGCTCAGAAAGTTTTTTTAAGTATTAAATGCACAACTTGAAATTTGCCATTTTAACCATCACCAACCACTGCCATTTCTAGAATTTCTAATTTTTTTCAAATAACTCAGTGTACATTTTTAAATGAATTTTATAGGGCTTGCCTAAGTGTGCATGAAGCCTTGGGTTCAATTCCTCAATACCACATAAACAGAAAAAGTGGAAGTGGCACTGTGGCTCAAGTGGTAGAGTGCTAGCCTTGAGCAAAAAGAAGTTCAGGGACAGTGCCTAGGCCCTGAGTTCAAGCCCCAGGACCCCTCTCTCGCCCCCCCCCCAAAAAAAAAAAGAATTCTACATTCCCCTCTAGCTCTTGGTAAGCTCTCTGCTTTTGGTCTGGGAATTTACCTATTAAAGCATGTCATGTAAGTGGGATCATATACTATTTGTACTTGTCTTTTCATTGTCTATTTTGTAGTGTGTGCGTAAGTATATCACACTTTTAAAAATTCATCCAGTAACAGATAGACGTTTGGATTGGTTCCACCTTTGGCTTTCTGTGAGTAGTGCGATGCTATGAGCGCTGGGATAGGTTCAAGTCCATGTTTTCAGTTAGTAGCAGAATGTATCTAGAAGTGCAGTTGCTGGATTGTGTATGATAATTTTTTTGGATTTCTTTATGTTTATATGCTGGTCATGGGCCTTGAACTCAGGGCCTGGGCACTGTCCCTGTGCTTTTTTGCTCAACGCTCATGCTCTACCACTTGAACCATTTCTAACTTTTACATTGGAGAAAAGACACTTGTGGATTTTCCTGTCCAGGCTGGCTTCAAACCATGATTCTCAGATTTTAGCCTCCTAAGTATTTTAGGATTACAGGCCTGAGCCACCAGCTATCGCTTCTGTTTAACTTTTTGAGGAACTTGGAAAAAGAATTTTTAAAAGACTTTTTTTGGGAGAGTGAGGTAGCAGTGCTGGTGGTTGAAACTCATGACCTTATCAAGACAGGCAGTCTTTTGGGGGGGGAGGGGGAGGGGTCCGGTTGTGGGGCCTGAACTCCAGGCCTGGGCGCTGTCCCTCAGCTCTTCAGCTCAAGGCTAGCGCTCTACCACTTGAGCCACAGCGCCACTTTCTGGCTTTTTTCTTTTTGCTTATGTGGTGCTGAGGAATCCAACCCAGGGCCTCATGCATGCAAGCCAAGCACTCTACCACTGAGCCACCTTCCCAGCCCAAGACAGGCAGTCTTGATCTAGGCCCCAACTGGATTTTTTTTTTTTTTTTGTAATTCCCACCAACAGTGCACAAGTTTGATTTTTTTTCTGTCTCCTATTCAATATTCAGTACTTGCCAGTTTTTTAAAATAGTTCATTGTTATTATAAAGGCAATGTACTTTATAATACAATTGTATTATAAAGGCAGCTGTACAATGTACAGTTATATAAGTCAGTTAAAGAGTTTATTACTTTTTTTGGGGGGGTGGTTCGGTCGTGGGGCCTGAACTCTGGGCCTGGGCACTGTCCCTCAGCTCTTCAGCTCAAGGCTAGCGCTCTACCACTTGAGCCACAGCGCCACTTTCTGGCTTTTTTCTTTTTGCTTATGTGGTGCTGAGGAATCGAACCCAGGGCCTCATGCATGCAAGGCAAGTGCTCTACCACTGAGCCACCTTCCCAGCCCAAGTCATTACTTTTTGGGCAGTTTTACCCCCTTCCCCCTAACTCTCCCAGTTTCTCCCTCCTGTCTCCACCCACAAATTGAATAGTTCATTTTCAACATAGTGCCTAATGAGTACTACTGCTGCATTTGTTCAGCCTTTTCCCTCCATTTCTGTATCCTCTCCTAAAGACAGATAAACAAGACAGAAAAATAGAGATAAAAGCCTTGTTTCATTTCCTGAAGTTCTCATTTCATTAAAAATTATTTTATATTTTTTATATATTTTAAATATATTAAGATGTCTATCCTGATGCTAGAGTACAGTTTACATGGTAGAATGCTTACATAGCAAGCACAAAGCCCTAGGTTGAGTATATGCAAATTTTAAAAAATTCTTGCAATTTAGCAGGTAGAGATAGGAGGATCACAGTTGTAGGCCAACGTAGGCAGTTAGCATGCAATACTAAGTACCTTTTGAACAACACATTTCTCAGAGTTCTTTTTTTTGGGGGGGTCCGGTCGTGGGGTCTGAACTCTGAGCCTGGGCACTGTCCCTCAGCTCTTCAGCTCAAGGCGAGCGCTTTACCACTTGAGCTACAGCGCCACTTCCGGTTTTCTGGTGGTTTATTGGAGATAGGAGTCTCACGGTCTTTCCTGCCCGGGCTGGCTTTGAACCGTGATCCTCAGATCTCAGCCTCCTGAGTAGCTAGGATTACAGGCGTGAGCCACCAGCCCGGCTACATTTTCTTTTAGTAAAATCTTTTTCCCTCCCTCCCTACTTTCTTTTTCTATTGCCCTTTAAGGCATTCAGGTTTCTTCCTGAATTCTCCTGCTGCTGGGACCTTGAACTTTAGTTTTTTGTCAGGAGAGTTCAGGACAAATTCAGCTTTTGAACTTTATTTTTCTCACCATATTCTAATGCTTCAGAGGATATTTCCTTGGTTTTCTGATCTAGTTTTTCTTGTCATCAACCATACTATCTACAGAAAAAAACTTTGTTTTTTTATTAATATGCAGACATGATTGAATTTGAGAAAAAGGTTAGTGCTCTGGGTGAATGAATAAGAATCTGATCCAAGATTGAAAAGCCTTATTTTCTACATTTCATAATACTCAGGTTCCTCCCTTTCCTTGTTCTTATTGTATCTTACTAATTTGAGTTTCTTTCTTTAGCACACACATATATAGATGTTTGTGTAGTAGAAAAGACATTTATTGTGTTGTCTCTTTAAAGAAATACGGTATTTACAAGAAATAGAAGACCAAGTTAAAAGAAAATCTAGAATCATCAGAGAGCTTGGAAATGCTCAAATTTGTTTTACATTGACTAGTCCTATTAATGAATACTTATCTCAGTTTGTTTTTATTTCAGCTTTGGCTAGATCAGAGTCTAAGAAAGATGGAGGTTTTAAAAATAATTGGAGCTTTGATCATGAAGAAGGAAGTGAAGGAGATACAGATAAAGAGTAAGGAATTCTTTCTTGCCTTAGATATTTTATACGAATTGAACTATTCATTAGAGAATTAATAATTCCATAGAAAAAAATTTTAACAGTATGGTGGCTTTTGTTTAACTCTAAAATAGTAACAGTAAGGGAAGATAAAACAATTCTTTATTGGTAGTTAATTTGGTGTATTATGTATACATAAATGTGATAGCTTAAAAGTGTACCACAGGAGATTTCAAATTAAGACAATAGTTCTTTTTAAGAGAGGGAAAAAAAACATTCCATTCAGGCAATAATTTTTAAAAAGCCTTTATCATATGTAAGTGAGCTGAGATCCCTTGAATTTCATGTAAATTTAAATCTTGTTTTCTTAGGTCAGGTTTTTGCCATTTACAAAATGCTTTCATCTTAGATCAGATTTCCACCAAAGAAATGAATGTTGGTATAGATGATAAACCTAGGTGTTCATCCAGGCAGATGTTAAGAGAAGTGTTCCCTGCATTCTGTTGAAATACTGGAAAGTATACTGTGTTAAAAATATATTTTATCTAAGCACCAGTGGCTCACACCTATAATCCTAGCTACTCCATAGGCTGAGCTCTGAGCATCATGGTTCAAAGCCAGCCTGGGCAGATAAATCTGTATCTCCAATTAGCCAGTAAAAAAGCTGGAAATGGAGTCATGGCTAAAATGGTAGATTACTAACTCTGAAAAGGGAGAGCAAGAACAGAGACCCTGAGTTCAAACCCTAGTACCAGTATGTAAAAATATAAGATTTTTTGAAACAAGGTCCTGCTATATAATGCAGAATGGCTTGGAACTTGCTATGTTCCTCAGGCTGGCTTCAAACTTGGTGATCCTAATGCCTTGGCCATCCTAAGTGCTAGGGTTACAGGTATGTGTAATTTTCCCCCCAGTGCTGGAGATTGAATCTTGGTCCTTGCCCTTGTTAGGCAATCAGTACAGACTACTTCCCCAACCCTAAAATAATAGTTTAGTGTATTTTCATGCTGTAAGTGCAGGAAGTTGAGCTGTGGCTCAAAGTGGTAGATCACTAGCCTTGAGCAGAAAATCTCAGGGTCAGTGCCCACACGATGAGTTTCAAGCCCTACAACTAACCAAAAAAGAAAAAAAAAATTATGATGCAGATTCATCTTGTTTCCAGATCCTTGTTACTGGATTGATTCTGAAAGAAACAAACTCAGAAAGAAATACATAATATACATACAAAAGTCTATCAGAACTGTAAATGGTTTTTAAAGAAATCTGAACACATGAAAACACTCAGTATATCGGATCAAAATTTTAAGTGCTTTATTTCTCTGAGAAATAGCTCTGTTAATGTGATCATTTCAGATTCCTTTAGGTTTTATGTAATGAGAATTTTTAAAAAATAAGTTGGCATAGTTTTTTTCAATCCAAATCAGTTCGTAGGTACAGTATGTCTTAGTGTCACTTGTGGAGAACTTTGAACTAGTAAATTTCTAATTTAAAGTCAGTATCTTATGGTCTTATTTCTTGATTTTTAAATATTTAAAATATTTTCTCTCATAGATACTTTTAATTCATGTAGTTTTGAAAAAAATTAAATGTTTAATTAAGCTGAAAGTTTATATATTTTTCTACCCCTTGTATCATTAAATATAAGGTGGTTTCCAGCATTAAAGGTGGGATTATTAGAAAAGAAATGAAACAAAACAGTTTACATTTTTATTATAAGTAGGTTATAGTAGTAGGATTTACTACGTGTAACAGAATTGTCTTACAAAGTAGATTTTATTTCCTTTGGAAGATTCACCATGGTTAATATATATGTCCTTTGAATGTACTACTTTGTTCATAAGGTCCTAAGGGACCTTAGTGTTTTTTATCATATTGAGATTAACATGACCTATTAATATATTAGTCTGATTTTTTTTAGAATCAGGCTAAATGAATCTTAGTGAAAGGTTGATAGTTCCAAGAGTGGTAAACTTATATCATGGTAATATCCATTGAAATTACTTTCTTGTCATTAGCTATTTTTTTCCTTCGAAAGAGTGTTTCTTCTGTATTTTGTTTTTCAATTCTTCTCTAAATTTTAATGCAAAACAGAAAGGGAAAATGAATGAGAATATAAAATATATACTTAGCAAAACACAAAATTATGTGCTCATTTAGGGATCAACAAACCATAGCCTATGGATCAGATCCTGGCAGCCACCTAGTTTGTTAATGTATTGTAACACAGCCATGTATATAATTTGTGCTTGTTTTTATATACCAATGACAAGAATAAATAGTTGCTATGCAGACCATATTGCCTGCAGAGCCTGAAATATTTAATATTTGGTCCTTTACAGAAAAAGTATGCTGATTCCTTGATTCAGTAAAAGCATAGAGGGACAGACCTACTGAATTTAATGTGGTGATTATAATTTTTACTTAAGGAATTTTTCTCCCTTATTTCCTATATAGTGGGGCACATCTACTCAGTGTAGAAGATGAGGATTCTCAAACTTCAAATGGAGAAAAGGCAAGTGTTGATTTTTAAAATGTTTTTCTTTTGGACTACATATTTAAAAATGTTACCTTAAAAAGATCTGCATATTTTCAAATATATTTTTAAGGAGTTGTACAGAGGGATTACAATTCCATAAGTCAGGTAATAAGTACAATTCTTACTGGGCAATGTCTCCCCTTCCTTTGCTTCTCCTTCCTGTCCCTGCCTATAGTTGTATAGTTCATTTTTTACATAGTGTGTATTGAATACCATGACTGTATTTGTTTATCCTTCCTCCATTTCTGTGACCCCTTCCTTTTGCCCCCTTTAAGAAGACAAAATCAAAACAACTAAAAAATAACAGCAAAAAATAAATAAAACATGTTTGAAATTTTTTTGGGGGGGAGGTCTGTCGCGGGGCTTGAACTCTGGGCCTGGGCACTGCCCCTCAGCTCTTCAGCTCAAGGCTAGCACTCTACCACTTGAGCTGCAGCGCCACTTCTGGTTTTCTGGTAGTTTATTGGAGATAGAGTTCACGGACTTTCCTGCCCAGGCTGGTTTTGAACCGTGATCTTCAGATCTCAGCCTCCTGAGTAGCTAGGATTACAGACATGAGCCACCAGCACCCGGTACATGTTTGAAATTTTAAGTCCCAGTCTTCCTCTTTCCCACCTGAAACAAATATTCCCAGTTTCATGATTTTAAGTTTAATTGGCAGGTAGCTTTGTATTGCTGTAACAAAATACTTACCAAAATATCTATATGAACTAAATAAGGGAAGAACTTTGTTTTGGCTCTCAAAGTTTTGGAGCTTTTACTCTATGGCGCTTGGGCCTATGTAGCTGGGTAGCATCATGGAGTGAGCCAGGTAGAATAGGCAGCTTGTTGCTTCTTGACAGCTGGAAGCAAAGAGAGAAAAGGAAGGAGCCAAAGTCTCCACATCTCTTTCAAGGACATTCCCCCAGCCATCTAATTGCCTCCCATTTCCAAAAGGTTCAGTCCAGAGCCTTGCACATGCTAAGGAGGTTCTCTACCTTTGAGCTATATCTCTTGGCCTAAGACAGGTACATTTCTACATTTTTGGTATATACTTAACTTATATACTTCATTGCAGTGTGTCATTTCCCCACATTTTTACCAAAATTTAATATTAGATAATTTTTATTTTTTTGTTGATTGTGGGGGCTGAACTTGGCCTGGGTATTGCCCCTCAGCTCTTCAGTTCAAGGCTAGTACCGTACCACTTGAGCCACAGTGCTTATGTGGTGCTGAGGAATCGAACCCAGGGCTTCATGCATGTGAGGCAAGCACTCTACCACTGAGCCAACTTCCCAGCCCCTAGATAATGTTCTTGTAACTGAAAGGTTCTAAGTTTTTAGAAAACCAAATTTCTATAATTATGAATACTTGAACCAATATATTTATGATTATTAAACCTATGCTGTAAAATAAATATTGCAAGGATCACAGCTCTGGAACAATGAAAACCTTAAATAAAAGTGCTGAGAAATTCCAGTTTCGTTATAGTGTCAGTGTTTTATGCCAAAAATGATGTAAATATTGAGCATTTAAAAATTAATAAGGGGGCTGGGAAGGTGGCTCAGTGGTAGAGCGCTTGCCTTGCATGCCTGAGGCCCTGGGTTCGATTCCTCAGCACCACATAAGCAAAAAAAAAAAAAAAGCTGGAAGTGGCGCTGTGGCTCAAGTGGTAGAGCGCTAGCCTTGAGCTGAAGAGCTGAGGGATAGTGCCCAGGCCCAGAGTTCAGGCCCCAGGACCGGACCCCCAAAAAACAAAAATTTCTATCACTTTTGCTTTTCCATTTTACAATGTAACTCACTGAAGAAGATATTACCTTGGCTCAAAACTTCCAATTCCAAGCCTTGCTTCACCTTTGAAGGGAATAGACATGAAGCAAGGGAAAGCAAGAAGCCCTACAATTGTTTTGTAGCCAGAAGAGATTTCAAATACCAATATTATAAATTGTTTCTTACAGAAGCTTTTTTAGACCCTAATACCATAGATAGTTAATACTTTTATAAAATGAAAAGTATTCTATCAGGAAGGGAGAAATGAATCAGTATATGAAAAATGGAGACTGGGGATTGAGAAGTTGATTCTTTTAAAAAGATTAGTACTTTTTTATTCTTTACAAATGCTTAGTGGATTCTTCAGCTCATATACTTGAATTTTGAGTGACTTAGTAACAAGTAGGTACATACAGATCAGGAGTGGATAACCTGTTTATCTGTTGCTGCTCATTGTGATATTTCTAACATTATTCTCAGGCTATATAAAATTACCAATACTGGTAGATGCTTCTGTTTGTCTCATAGTATACTAAATAATTTCAAAGGCCTATAACAACCAGGCTGTGTGATTTCCCCCTACCCCACCCTGGTTTAAATGAATATTGTTTCTTTTCTCTATTTGAAAGTGTACATGGAATTAGAATTTACTTTCCTGTTTTGTTTCACAGAATAATCCTTTTGCCTTTGGGCTTCTACAGTTACAATGAGATTTATATAAAGATTCTTTGGTTGTGAAAGCATTAGTGATTATCTCTGTATATTGCCTTTTTACATTTTGGGGAGATTCATTATAGACGGAGTAGGACCATCATTTTTCATGTTCTTTTAGAGCCTGTGTTTTATTTTTAAAAGGAAAAAGAAAAGAATAAAGGAACAAGAAAAATATTTTCTTTTTCTTTTTTTTTTTTTTTGGTCGGTAGTGGGGCTTGAACTCTGGGCTTGGGCGCTGTCCCTACGCTCGTCAGCTCAAGGTGAGCGCTCTACCGCTTGAGCTACAGCACCTCTTCCAGTTTTTTAGTTGTTAATTGGAGATAAGAGTCTCACTGATTTTTTTTTTTTTTGGGGCCTGGACTGGCTTTGAACCGTGATCCTCAGATCTCAGTCTCCTCAGTAGCTAGGATTACAAGTGTGAGCCACTGGCGCCAAGCTAGAAAAATCTAGTTATTTCCTCATCTCTACCTCCGTTTATTTTCAGCTATATCTGATCTGCTGCTTAATTGATTTATTCTTCCTCCCTCTTTCCTCTCCTTCCTCCTCCCTCCCCTCTCCCATCTCTTCCCCTTCCTTCCTCCCCCTCCTTCCCTTCTTCTTCTTCCTCTTCCTCCTCCTCTTCCTCCCTCCTTCATCATTGCTTGTCTTGGGGCTTCAACTCATGGTGCTATCCCTGAGCTTTTGTGGTCAAGGCTAGCACTCTACCACGTGTGCCACAGCTCCACTTCTTGGCTTTTTGGTATTTAATTGGAGATAAGAGTCTCATGAACTTTCCTGCCTGGGCTGGCTTTGAACCACGGTCCTCAGAGCTCAACCTCCTAAATAGCTAAGACTACAGACTTTCATTGCTTACTATTTATTTAGTCAGTCTGTTGTGGGGCTTGAACTCAGGGCCTAGGCTGAATACTTTTTAAAAATCGGTTTGTGATCATTTTTGGTGGAATATACCACATATTGGTAATTTTATCAACATTTCGCATTTCCAGGGAAATTGTAATTCATGCAGGAAAACATCTTGAATATAGTGATCAGTGCTAAAAATGTTAGTCAATTTATGGTTCATTGCTAGAATGATTTTTACATCTTTTAGTGCTTGAAAAGGATCAGAATACTACTATTCATGTCAAATGAAAATGATATAAAATTCAACTTGATGGGCATAAGTAAAATTGCACTGGAGCCATGTTCATTTATTCATTGTATTTGGCTGGTTTTATGCTACCATAAAGGGTTTTGGACAGTTAAGTTAAATGCAGAAAGACTTGTCTGACCAACAAAACCTGAAATATTTATTATCTGGCCATTTACAGAAAAAAGCTGTTCTCTGTATATTCTTTGTAGTGATGTCCAGTGTTTTGGAGCAGATGGGGGACCGCTGACATAATATGAATCAGAATATCAATTCCAAACTTGCTAAGAACTATTTCACTTCATAAGATGGTTGTGAGGTTTATGTCAGACTGTAGTTTATATAATGCATAACACTAGCAGTCTTCCACAGTAGCTACATTAGCAGCATTATATGCAATTATTGCATGTAAGTTTATAGGATATAATTGACTTCTGTTATGCCCATGTTTATAGTGAGTTTTCTAATGTGATTGGTTTGTGCTAATCCATCTGTTCACAATAGTTCTGTTTTTTCAGGGAGAGGATTTTTGTTTTTATTTTTTTCCCCTGGGCCTAGGGCTTGAACTCAAGGCCTAGACTCTGTTCCTGACCCTCTCTTTGCTCAGGGCTAGTGCTCTACCACTTAGGCCACAGTGCCACTTCTGCTCACGGACTTTCCTGCCTGGGCTTGCTTTGAATCACAATCCTCAGATTTCAGCTTCCTGAGTAGCTAGGATTACAGGCGTTAGCCACTGCTGCCTGGTGAGAGGATATCTTTTTTCAAATTTCTTTATTGAGCTTAAGTGATTATATAAATTTCAACAGTATTGTGGGATAGTGATGCTTAATTAAAGTCACAAGCACATTTTAACCTTCACAAGGCGAATTGTCATTGTCATGATCTATAAAGCTTATGAACTCTACAAACTTTGACAATACAACTATTTCTTTCAGATCGGGTGGTAAGTACATTTCTTAGCTTTGCTTAGTGTCAGCTGTTTCCTCTTTCCCTCATCCCTCCCTCCCATCACTGCCCTTGAGTTGCTTAGGTCACTGTCATCAATGTCTAGTGCCGCTGATGAGCCCCTCTGATTCTGTCTAGCTTTCCTCATATGTGCACATGTATCTACCCTGTAGGGTCAAGAATATAAAGTCATCTAAAAACCATGTGACCAATTAAGAAGAGGCGCTTTGTTTCTTGAGTCCTGTTTACTTTGTCACGTGCAAGAGAACATTTTTTAATTATCTTTTGGTGATACTAGGGTTCACACTCTGCCTTGTACTTACTAAGCAGTCTACTATTTGAATCTCATCTTTTTGCTTTTTTTTGTTTTCTTCAGATAGGGCCTTGGGCCTTGGACCTTTCCTCCTACTCGTGGCCTTCCAAGTTGGTGGGATTATAGGCATGTACCGCCTTGCTTGGCTCAAATTTAGATCTTTTTTTTTTTTTTTTGCCAGTCTTGAACTCAGGCCTGGCCACTGTCCCTGAGCTTCTTTTGCTCAAGGCTACCACTCTACCACTTGAGCCACAGTACCACTTCCAGCCTCTTCTGTTTATGTGATACTGAAGAATCAAACCCAGGGCTTTATGCATGCTAGGCAAGCACTCTACCACTGAGCCACATTCCCAGTCCCTCAAATTGAAATCTTAATATCGCGGCCTCCTGGATCGCTGTATTGCAGGCAAGCACCACCCACTTTGTTTGGCATTTGAGACAAGGTTTCAATCAATATGTAGCTCAGGTTTACTACCTTGAACTTGCATTCCTTCTAGTATAGCCTCCTGAGTGCTAAAGTTCATGCATTACTTGGAAAATTGTTTTATGCTGAGGAAGAAGGGCAGATTAACTGTGCTTTTTCAAGGATTTTTATACATCATCTGAGTTTTATGAATATAGGAGTACTCTAAATCTTGACTTACTTGTACTTTTTTTTTTGTGTGCCAGTTATGGGGCTTGAACTCTGGGTCTGGGCATTGTCCCTCAGTTCTTCAGCTCAAGGTTAGCACTCTACCACTTGAGCCACAGCGCCACTTTTGGCTTTTTCTGCTTATGTAGTGCTGAGGAATCAAACCCAGGGCCTCATGCATGCAAAGCAAGTACTCTACCACTGATCCACCTTCCCAGCCCTTACTTGTACTTTTTTTCTTTCCCAAATCAGTAATTTGGTGTAGATGATCAATTTAGGACAAAAATGTCATGAAAAGGAAAAACTATTTGGAGAGTTTGCCAACTGTCTAAAATAGTTTGTGTTGTATTTTAATTATGCATTTGCCTATGAATTTTCTGGCAGCTGGAATTGTGTTTTACAATTTTGTACTTGGAAATCTGTACAAATTTACGTTGAATGATTCTTTTATAGAGTGACATTTTCCTGTGCTATGTGTCAAGTGTAACATAGAAACTTTTTCTTTTTTTTTTTGTCGGTCGTGGGGCTTGAACTCTGGGCCTGGGCGCTGTCCCTCAGCTCTTCAGCTCAAGGCGAGCGCTCTACCACTTGAGCTACAGCGCCACTTCCATAGAAACCTTTTCTAAAGGAACTTGACAAAATAATAAGTGCTATCTTTGATGACATACATAGTTACTTGAAGAAGCTGGAGCAACTGGTTGTTTATTGCTGACTAAAGTTATCTAGCCTATAGACAACCTAAAGGCAACAGAAGTAATTAAATTTTTTTTTTCATGTATCCTCCTTTTTTTGGCCAGTCCTGGGGCTTGAACTCAGGGTCTGGGCACTGTCCCTGAGCTGCATTTGTTCAATGATAGCACTCTACCACTTGAACTATAGCGCCCCTTCCAGGTTTTTCTGTTTATGTGGTACTGAGGAATTGAATCCATGCATGCTAGGCAAGCCTTCTACCACTGAGCCAAATTCCCAGCCCCTCACGTATTCTCTTGTTCTGTTAATAGGTTGAGGTTTGTCTATGGCTGTGCTGTCTTTTTTCTTTTTTGGTCGGTCGTGGGCCTTGAACTCTGGGCCTAGGCATTGTCCCTCAGCTCTTCAGCTCAAGGCGAGCACTCTACCACTTGAGCCACAGTACCACTTCCGGTTTTCTAGTGGTTAATTGGAGATGAGTCTCTCGGACTTTGCTGCCTGGGTTGGTTTTAAAGCACTATCCTCAGATCTCAGGCTCCTGAGTAGCTAGGATTACAGGTCTGAGCCACCGGTGCCTGGCTCCAAATGCTTTCTTAAAAAGAAAATTTGAAATCCCAGTTCTTTAATTAAAAGCACTTGAGTTAACTATATTGGGATAAGTAAATTTGGCTTAAACAATTTTAAGATAAAAAATTAGCACAAAGGACTTTTTAGTGTAAGTACATTGATTTTTGAGATGTTCTGTATCCTATTGTTTTTGAGTTTTTATTGGAATAACTTTTTTTTTTTGGGTGGGGGGTCCGGTCGTGGGGCCTGAACTCTGGGCCTGGGCGCTGTCCCTCAACTCTTCAGCTCAAGGCTAGCGCTCTACCACTTGAGCCACAGCGCCACTTCCGGCTTTTTTTTTCTTTTTGCTTATGTGGTGCTGAGGAATCAAACCCAGGGCCTCGAGCATGCAAGGCAAGAGCTCTACCACTGAGCCACCTTCCCAGCCCGGAATAACATTTTTTTTTTGCCTCATTTTGCTGAAAATCGGCAATATTTATACAAGGAATACTAAAAAATTCCTCATATTGAAAGGGAAGCATAGGCTTGGGAGCCAGACCAGTCTTTGGCCCAATCCAGTTACTAGTTTGCACATGATATTTTTGGTTTTTCAGTTCAATTTGCACACTATACTTTCCCTTTTTCAGTTTATCAACAAAGGGGATAGAGATTTTTGAAAAGAACTGAATTGGGAAATTTGAGGGTTTTCTTTTATTTTTTTTGGGGGGGGTCTGGTAGTGGAGCCTGAACTCTGGGCCTGGGCGCTGTCCCTCAGCTCTTCAGCTCAAGGCTAGTGCACTACCACTTGAGCCACAGCACCACTTCCGGCTTTTTTCTTTTTGCTTATGTGGTGCTGAGGGATCGAACCCAGGGTCTCATGCATGCAAGGCAAGTGCTCTACCACTGAGCCAACTTCCCAGCCCAAATTTGAGGGTTTTCTATCTGTTATTCAACAAGGTCAAGTAATCTGCTCTCTGAGGCACAATAGCTGGATCTCAATCTGAACAATTAGTGAAATGTATAAAGAAAGAGGTAAAATCAGATATGACATAATTAGCATAATGAATTCTCATAGTAAGTAGCCAGTAAATGCTAGTTTCAATAATCTATATGTAGGTAAAATAATATGATTAGTGGGTATTTTGTTTAGTGTTTTGTTTACACAGTAATATTACTTCTATATAAAAAGATAACTAAATGCGAAAGTGAGTGTATTCTCTTATTTAGGAAAATGAAAGTGATAATCGCATTGTCTATATTCCCTATAGTTCCTGTTTTCCACTGTTTCTCTTGACCTATTTTGCTATGAGCCTGGTTGAAGAATGTGTATTGCATATAAAAATTAGGACTTAAGGGCTGGGAAGGTGGCTCAGTGGTAGAGCGCTTGCCTTGCATGCATGAGGCCCTGGGTTCGATTCCTCAGCACCACATAAGCAAAAAGAAAAAAGCCAGAAGTGGCGCTGTGGCTCAAGTGGTAGAGCACTAGCCTTGAGCTGAAGAGCTGAGGGACAGCGCCCAGGCCCAGAGTTCAGGCCCCACACTGGACCCAAAAAAAAAAAATTAGGACTTAGTTCATCACATCAGATGAGTTTTAGAGTAGCCACACATTTGCTTTTGCTAGTGCAGATTCTTGGGTCCTTCTCAAGAGTATTGAATCAGAAGAAAATGGAAGATAACACTTGGCTTAGTAAATCATCCAGGTGATTGTGGTATGTGCTAAAATTTGAGAACTACTACCTTAATCCACCTAGAAATTGAAATGGTTAGCAAAACATTACACTTCCGTCTAATTCAGATTTATTTACAGTCTGTAATCCTAATCTATACTTCAAGTTGTTTATATAGCCCTTTGTGCTTGTTTCATGTATCCAGAACTCCCATTTTTGCCTCTATAACTTTGGAAGTCCATTGGAAATGTAGCTTCTCAGCATAGGAAAACAGCGCAGAATTTCAATTTGACTCTCTGGATTTTCTGTCCCGATAGTCTCACAAATCAGAAGAGATGAAGAAGAGAAAATGATAAGCAGGGTGTCAAAATAGATATTTTTGGATGAACGAAGACAAGAACTATATTGGGTAATGAACTCTCAGGAGACTTGTTTAGTGGAAGGTACATTTTGAGGTATTGTGAGGGTTCTGTGGGAAGACAGAGGGTCTTATTTGTGAAGAACCAGGGGTCCTGTTATACCGTGAGATCCTCAAGATGATTGTAATGGGTTTATGACAACGTGTATACCGATGAAGCGTTACCTCACTTTCTGTGTTTATACAGAAACTTTCACACAGGAGACACATATAGAGGCTGGGTGAGATGGCTCATGTTTGTAATGCTAGTACTTGGGAGTTAGTTAGGGTAGGGTCTTGGCTTGAGGATAGCCTGCCAGAGGAAAGGTAGCAAGACCTCAGCAAATGAGCTGGGTGTGGTGCTGTACATCTGTACTCCCAGGTTTGTGGTGGGCTATTGGTAGAAACCACTGACTTGAAAACTGGCCCTGGACAAAGTATGGAGAGCCTACCAAGAAAACAGCTGAAACAAAAATGGCTAAAGGCGAGACTGAGTCTAGCAAGCTCAAGGCCCTGAGTTCAAACCCTGGTACTGCCAAAAAAGAAGACATAAGATAAGAACTTGATGCTACATTTGGCAATACTACCCTGCATAGTAGTAAGGCCTATCAAGCTATGTAAATGCTTATATTTTTAACTGTCTAGAGAAAGCTAGCCTAAAATCCACTATCCTTATCTTTTCAAATATCTTTGCAAACATTGACATTAAAAGAAAAATCCCATATTCCTTCAAATTTGCATTATCAAATAGTACATTTAAATTACTCTCAGATGTGCACCACTGCTGTCTCCATACATTCTTACTTGGTTTTTAAATGAATTTTCAAATCATTGTTAATAAATATCATATTATGGTGTTTATTTACTCTAACATTTATGGATCTTTTTACAGTTAAATCGTCCGTCTGAATTTGTTGATAATTCTGGTGATTACATCTTGAAGACATATGTAAAACGAAACAAGGCTGAAAGTTTTAAAACTTTGAAAGGCAACCCAATTGGACTTAACATGTTGAGCAGCAATAAGAAATTGAGGTATAGGCACTTACCACACTTCCTACAGAAAATATAAAGCTAATAGGCCCACTCTGTAGCCTTTGTTTTGAATTTTCCACTTATAACAAGGAGGTAGAATAGTTCCAATATGTGGATTTTGCAGTGATTTTTGAGTTCCAAATAAAACATACTGCAAAAAAATAAAATGTTGGTAGGCTGACCTCTTGTGTAGTTGCTTTCAAAAAAAGAGGAAAGTCTCAGTCCCTAGTTTTAATAACGGAAGTAGAAAGCATAGGGTAGGGTGATCTTGACTCAGAAAATGCTAATTCAGATGATCTCAACAAGAGACTTGTGTTTTTCTTTATATCATCTAGATATAGCCCACGATTCCTGTTGGCTATCATTCTAAATTACTGATGCTGTGGGATTGGGCTGTCCGTAACAACACAAATAGGGCTGAGACATCAATATTTGATTGCTGCTCTATTTGTAAATCCACTGGTATGATCTATAAATGTTAAATAACTTGAATTAGTGGCATTATCATAAGTAGGATTTAGAACTCTTAGTTTCTACTTGGATTAGAAACATTTGAAAGATGAATTCAGGAAGTAGATAATTAGTGAACAGTTTTACAGTGTAAATTGAATTTATCTGTTTTGTTTTTTTAAGTGGTAAAGGTTATTTCTGTATGTGTTCAGATGTTAAAGGATTTAATTTGTCAGTGTGTATGTAATTTTTTCCCTATTCAAGTTATTCTTTGTTTATTGGCTCTGCAGTGAAAATACACAAACTGCATCATTATGTTCTGGAACAGTAGTTCATGGTAGACGTTTTCATCATGCTCATGTACAGATACCAGTAGTAAAAACCGCAGCCCAAAGGTAAGGATTCTATGTCTCCTTGTAGAGTATATTCAGACACTCTTTAATAGGGATTTCTACTTCAAAAATAACTTTCCTCCTTTGTGTTACTTTACTGTTGTCACTTTATATAAAAAGCTATATCTCTGAAATCACTCATGCTCTGATGATTTTATTATTTTCTGTTTGCATTTTTCACATTCTGTAAGTAAGAATAAAACTTTTATTGGCTTTATAAGGTTTATTAAATTTCATGGTACCAAATGACATGGTTAAATATTTGAGAAATTGTTGATTTTAGCAGTTTCATACAAATTTAGAGATTCCTATTGATCTTGAAAGCACTGTAATAGGAAATGTTTTTGAGGAATTCAGAATTACTTGGGAAGTTGATTTTCCTTCTTAGTTTAAAATTTTTAAGCTTCAGCAGTTAGTCTGTTGATTATAAATACTTTTTTATAACTGGTAAGATTTAATTTTTGATAACCTTTTATGTGCTATATTCTTCACTTTTAAGAATGTCAATCTAGGTCAGTATTCATTAAGACAGTATCATTTGAACCTTTGGAGCCCACACGTTTATGTAGATTTTCAATAACATAAGATACTTGAAATTTAAAATTTAAATTTCCTTCATACTTTTAAGATTTGTTTTTTTTTCTATAAAGAAACCTTTCTCTTGTTTACATGTTACTTTATCAGTTTCCATGTGATATTTTAAAAGAAATTTAGTTTAAAATAAAGGAAGGCATTACTGCACATAACACGAATGTGCTAACCATAATGCACAGTACAAACAAATCAAGCTCTTGGATCTACCTGTGGCACAAGCTACAGTGTAGATTGAAAGTAATTTGAGGAAGGTAGGGAAGGAAAGAAGGAAGGGAAGGAGGGAGGGAGGAGAAAGAAAGAAGACACTGTTCATACACAAGTCAACTGAAAGTATAATCAAGTTAACTGATGTATTTTATAACCAGTTATTAGATTAATACTGCTTTTGAAGTTTTCTGTAGTTTGAATTATTTACAGTGACTTACTCATTTTTATTTTCCTGTTAGAACATTTGAAAAATGATTACAGTCTGAAAATTAGGTTGTGTTTTATTTCATTTCCAAGTTTCACCACCTATTATAGCTTCTAATGCGTATCATTGTTCATCTACATTAACATTTAGATTTATTCTATAAGAGCTAATGTTTATTGGTAAAATAGTGAATAGTGTTCCTTAAGAAATAACAATAAGATGTATGTGTAATCCTTACATTTAGAAAGTTACGCTAAGAACATCATGTCTTTGAGACCAGTCTGGGACTATATAGTAATACCTTGTCTCTGAAAAGAAAAAAAATGAGGAAATGAAATAATAAAACCTTTATATTCAAAGGTAATTTCAGGTGAAAATACTTGGCAAGGATTACTGGGAGCAGTAAAGGAAACTGGAATCAAATAAGCAGGGCAGATTTGTCTGTCTTTTATTCTGGGTATAAATGAACATTTCTTATTCCAGCTATGGTTTAATTGTCATTAAAAAGATTTTGAAGTTCAGAGATATGTTTTTTTCAGTTTTCTTCAAAAATACGTGGTTTTTAAGCTGTGAAACAGGCATAGATGAGAAGTAGGATATTTGAAGATGAACATGTATGATGCAGTCCCTGCTCTTGGAGCTCAGGTTTAATTAGGGTAGAGATAGGTAAGCAGTGATTACATGGTAAGTTCAATAGTAGAGATATATGTAAGAATATTACAGAACAGTGAAGAAGTCACAAGACAGGATGTATTAAAGGGCTTTTGAGCCGGGTGCTGGTGGCTTATGCCTATAATTGTAGCTACACCAGAGGCTGAGATCTGAGGATCATGGTTTGAAGTTAACCCGGGCAACGAAGTCCATGAGACTTTTAAATGAACTACCAGAAAACCGGAAGTGGAACTTTGGCTAGCCTTGAGCGAAAAAGCTCAGGGACAGCACTCCGCCCTTAGTTCAATTCCCCCATGACCAACCAAAATAAAAGAGAGCTTTTGAGTGTCCTAGTTAAAAGAGGACATTCTGTGTCTTTAAAAGCACATCGTGTTCAAAGCCACTGAGGAAAACTTAAGATAGTTGCCTCCAAACAGTTGGCACTACTATGAACCTCAAAGGGAAACACAATAGCTTCCCTACATTTTCTTTTTTTCTGACTTTAAAATTTAAAGTGATGCTTCCAGTTTGGTAACTCACAGAACATTCTTCTTGGGGTGAGTAGTATAGCCTTGTTTTAAAGTGAGTCATAATTGCATGCTGAGTGATTTAAGTTAAGAAAACAAATACTACATACCTTTTTAATCAGAAAGAGGCATGTGAAAATTGTTAAAATATCCCATTTATTTATCATGAGAGAGAAATACGATTTCAATTAGTTTTCTTAGACTCTCTTCTTAAATATTTGACCATGCCTTTTCAAGAATTTTTCAGAATTCTACATATCCTTTTCCTGTTAAACAATACATATGAGATTGCTTATATTAAATTAGTTTGTGTATTGACAAACAAGATTTAAAACATAGTATGTAGTGTATACGAATGTCTTTAAAACAAATTGATCCTATTATAGTTTTGCATTATTGACTATAGTTACTACAACTACAATGACATCAATGAGGTCTTGCCTCTTACATTTTTTTCTTTTTATGTTTTAAGCAATCAGGACCGAAAAGAAAGGTAAGCTTAATATTCATAAAACTAGAGCATGAGTATAGAAGTAAAGCATCAGATTGTTTATATGATTTGAAAAATATCCATTTAATTAGCATTCACAATAAAGCTTATTTTATGAAAGGAAATGTAATGGTGCAGTATGATATTTGACTGATATTTTATGTATGGTTTTGTTTTAGCATTAATTTCTAATTGCCTTTAGAAAAAAGTCTCTTATTCCAGACTAGGGTAGTGGTATTTACCTATAAGACTTGCAGCCCATCTCAACAAACAAGCTTAGTGTAAATTTGTATGCCTATAACCCCAGCAAGTTGGAAGATACATTAGTAAGCTCCAAAGCTAATCCTGGGCAAGACCCTGTCTGAAAAGTGAGTGAAACATAAGAAGCACTGGGGATATGGCTTAAGTGGTGGAGCTCCTAGAATATACAAGGCCCTGAATTAAGCCTCAGTACTGCCAATAAAACTTCCTGCAAAACAAAACTTTCAACTCACTGTGATGGTGCACCCCTGTAATCCTAGCATTCAGGAGCAGCAGGAGAATCATGAGTTTGAGGCCAGCCTGGACTACATAGTGAGCTCAAGGCCAGTCTATGCTACACAGTGATACCTTGTCTCAAAAAAGAACAAAAACCTTTTATACTTTTGTGGTAATACTCCTAATTTCAGTATGGAAGAGGAATAGAATTTAGCACCGTAAGCTTGGAACTAAAACTTTCTTTTTTTTTTGGTCAGTCATGGGGCCTGAACTCTCGGCCTGGGCGCTGTCCCTCAGCTCTTCAGCTCAAGGCTAGCGCTCTACCACTTGAGCCACAGTACCCACTTCTGGCTTTTTCTGCTTATATGGGGCTGAGGAATCGAACCCAGGGCCTCATGCATGCAAGGCGAGCACTCTACCACTGAGCTACCTTCCCAGCCCCGAACTAAAACTTTTAAACATCAAATGTTTTCTATTTTGGCCCCCCAAAAATTGTAGTAGAATTTCATGATCAGCTCTCTATTCTGTCAGTATTTTTTCCATTTAGAAAACATTTTTAAGTGGAGTTCAAATGTTAAACTGCTAGCCTTTAACAAGAAAACTCAGGGACAGTGCCCAGGTCCTGAGTTCAAGCTCCAGAAGCCACTGGTCCATGCCTGTAATCCTAGCTACTCAAGGCTGAGATTTGAGGATAGTTTGAAACCAGCCCAGGCAAGAAAGTCTGTGAAACTCTTACCTCTAATTAACCACCAAAAAGCTGGAAGTGGAGCTATGGCTCAAGTAGTAGAGTGCCAGCTTTGAGCAAAAAAGATCAGTGCCCAGGCCCCGAGTTCAAGTTCAAGCCCAAAACAGTACAGTACATTAATATTATACGTACATATATATGTATGTATATGCATCAACATACAAGATTTCATTTTATCCATAAATGCATACAGTGTACCTTTTTCAGACACACCATCTCCCTGGTTCTCGTTTCTTCCCTTTTTAAGAACACCAGCAGCCAGTGTTTCTTGAGTAATTTGAATTAACATAAATGACATGGACAAAATGATTTTTAAGAATACACGTTTTGGTCAATAGTGAAATGATTGTAATTGTTCTAAACTAAGTATCTCTAAGAGCTCCCCCTTCACCCCCCCCCCCCACCTCCAATGACAGATAAGTAAAGAAGTGAGTCTGCTTATCTATTTATCATACTTTCCTGAGATACCAAAAGTAGTTTTGTTGACACCACCTTATAACTCCCAAGCAGTTAAAGGCCCTTAAAGCAATACCTTCCCCTGATTGGTGAGTATAGAAGAAGGGAATTCCTATAATTTTATTTCACTTCATAAGAATCATGAAAAAGATATGTTTTCTTGTCAGTTTTTCTCTTTCAATAAGTCATTACTTCTTGTCAGATACATATCAATCATTTTATATCATCTTAATTTTTGACTAGCAGAGACTACCTTTATAGCAAGGCTATAACAAAACATTTAAAATAAAATTGCTAGTAATGGGCATTAAATATATGCAGTCACATGTTTCATCCAAATAATTATTTACCTGTATGTTACAGTTTTAGGTACTGTTACATTCTCAGAATATTAGATCTTAGATAACTTTCTCTTTCACAGTAACCTTAGTGAGTGTATGTGATTCTTTCCCACTGCTTTTACCGCTTATGCATATTTCTGTACTAGTAGCTTATTCATGGATACATTGAGCAAATATTTACATGCCTAAATGTGCCAGGTATGCTGCAAGTATCAGACAGAAATCCTTAACTCTGGTAGCTTGCAGAAAAGGCCAGAAAACAGATAGTTAATTAACTAGCATAGACCACAGGCTCATTTTTTGCTATGCAATGAATTAATAATCTTTGCCCAACTTTAAAGGAAAAGTTGGGACAAGTGAGATAATTATATATTGACTGCACTGTAATAAAAGTAAGATTACTGAAAATAAGTCGTTATAGCATTGAAATTTTTTCATAAAGATTAACTCTAGAGAATGTAAAACTCTTAGATGTATAGGCACAATGTTTTAAAAAGACCCTGTATCACATACACCTGAGTACTCCGCAACTTACTTATTGTTAGGACTAATTTAACTCAGGTCCTTTGGATCCTTCTGTTAAATTACTTTGTTTCTCTCTTTCCACTGGTTTGTGCTAGGAACCTAATACTTTGCACATGCAATACCTTGCATAAGTCTGCTGGTGAGCTGTATCCCCAGGCCTATTTTGAATTTTTCAAAAGTTAAACTAAGAAGAACCTTTGTGTTATTAACAGATTTTACTTGGTAGTTTTTTATTTATGTGTTTTCCTCCTCCTAAGTAATAAACGACATCTTTTTTTCTGATCTCTAATGAGTCATCTCTTATCTTACCACATATCTTGTACATAATAAACTGTGAATCTCTGAAATGAATTGCTTATAGAAATACAGTTAATGTAATGAAAGCAAGGAAGTTGTAAAATGTTAATTTGCCCTTGGTTTTTCCATTTGCATATAATAAGGGACATATTGATATATGTTGTAAACTTAAAACCCATTTTAAAAAACCATACAAATAATATACTAAGTTTAGAGTCTGCTAACTTAGAAAAACTGCTGCCAGTTTTCTTTTTATGAGTAATCTTAATAATGTAAATAAACCAGTTTTTTTGAGGGTATTGAGTCTTGAAGTTAGGGCTTTACATTGCTGCTTTGCTCTTTGACTCAAGGCTGTAGCCTTACCACTTCAGCCATAATTCCTCTAAAATTCTTCCCTGGCTCATGAACAGATGAATTGTGAATGCAGTTTTGTGCTTGTTCCAGCACCCTAGAATATATAATCTGGTATTTGAATTGCTTATTTTCTTTCTTTGCCCTCTCCCTGGATGAGGAATATAATGACCCATTATAAAATTAAGCTCAAACTGGGCACTGATGGCTCATCATGCCTGTCATCCTAGCTATTCAGGAGGCTGAGATCTGAGGATCACAGTTCAAAACCAGCTCGGGCAGGGAACTCTGTGAGACTCTTTATCTCCAATAAACCACTCAGAAAACTGGAAATGGTGCTAAGGCTCAAGTGGTAGAGTGCTAGCCTTGAGCTGAAGAGCTGAAGAACAGCATCTAGGCCCAGAGTTCAAGCTCCACAACTAGACCCTCCCCCCCCAAAAAAAAAGCACATAGTAGTTATTTTAATTTAGGATATACTTTCATTATTCTTATTATAAAGAATGTTTCATATTTTAGAGAATTTTGAAACAAAAACAGTACAAAAGTGAAAAGGATCAAATCAAAACAGGAAATACAAGAGTTGTTTACTATCAGGGTGAGTTTGAAGATGGAGTGTGGTTCTGCACAATACATCCCAGCCACGCAGGTCTGAGATGGGAAGGTTGTAGTTCAAGACAGGCTGAGCAATAGATGGAGAACCCCATCTCCAAAAAGAGAAAAGTATAGCTAGAGATTATAGTTTATAAAAAGCACCAAAGAATTGAATGTTATTACATTGTTGCAGTTCATTTCTTTATCTTTTTTTCAATATACCTTTAAATATATTTAATACTATGTGTAGTCATAATGAAAATACAGCTCTGTTCTGAATTTTCACCTAATAAAGAAGACCTAAACATTTACCTGTATCATTAAATTGGCTTCTAGGAAAACTTTTAATAACCTCATAGAAGTTTATCTTACAAATAAATATAACTTACCCATTTCCCATTTCTGGTTTTCTTTTTTATTTTGGGTCCAGTCTTGGGGCCTGAACTCTGGGCCTGGGCGCTGTCCCTCAGCTCTTCAGCTCAAGGCTAGCACTCTACCACTTGAGCCATAGCGCCACTTCCAGCTTTTTTCTTTTTGCTTATGTGGTGCTTGGGAATCGAACCCAGGGTCTCAGGAGGCTTGCAAGGCAAGCGCTCTACCACTGAGCCACCTTCCCAGCCCTATTTCTGGTTTTCTTTACTATCATATAAAATAGATTCATGCAACAACATTGCATAAAAATCTTTTAACTGCATCTCTTAGAAAAATCTCTGACAAAAGGATTCGTTGAGCTAGCCTACAAATGTTTCAGTAAGTACTGCTAAATTTTTATAGGGAAACCAGTACTGTAAATTACTGCCTCAAGGTATCTGAAGATTAAATTACATTCAGATGATACTTTCATTCTTGGAATTATAAGAGAGTTGTCTGAAATTTTAAAAATAAAAAGAATTCATCAAGGTAACAGTCAAGGATACTAAAAGCACTTTCACATCTAGTCAGTTGAAGTATGTATGTAAAGACAAATTTCTTGCACAGTAGTACCTAAAATTAAGTAAATTCACTTACTCATGTATAAAGAACCAAATTATGATGCATGTATATGTTATTTAAGTCATTTTTCTTTAAAGTAGAATTAATATATTAAAATCTGCGGGGGAGTTATTAAAGAAATTTGAGTATTTGATTTTAAAACTGATTTGAAAGCATAAATACATGACAAAGAGTTTCCTTTGGAAAAGAAAAACTGGACCAGACACTGGAGGCTTATGCCTGTTATA